AAAGTTTTTAATAATAAGAATGTGCATGTACATATTAATATACATATGTTGTCAGAAATGGGGGAGTATCATAATGTATACATACTTACATATTATGTATATGAAAAGTGTGAAAAGAATAATGAAAAAATAGTTGGCAAAAATAAATTTTTAATATCGAATTGAAAAAATATTTGTAAAAAATTGTTTTGTTTTTTTTTTTTCATTATTTATGAATCCATTTAAAATTTTTATTAATAAAATTTACAAAGATTCATACATATATGCATATATGTATGTACATATAACATAGTTTCATACACCTATACAAAATTTATTCAGTAACTAATATATACTAAATATACACTAATATACTCAATATACTATCAAACTAATACACACTATAATATACTTACATAATACGTGTATAATTATTTTGCGATTTGTAAAAACGTTTAATACCTGTTCCTGTTGCCATTATAAAATTGTTCCATATTAATAATTTCGTAGTGAGCGATAAATATTTTAATTAAGAAATAAAAATTAAATTTTCATTATGATTTTAAAACCTTACAATCATTGTTTTGAATTCCAGCAATCCTTTTCAAATGACTCTGACTGTGACTTAATAGGACGAATAGGACTCAATTATTCTCATCAGCAAACAGAATTGAGTTATGGAATAGTTTACATATGCAGGAAGAGAAATTTATGAATAGAAAAATATGGTAATTACAGATCCGGGAGGCTAATACAATAGTAACATTTTTGCTCTTGTTCAATTATAATTATGGGTTATTTATGGTTACCACCTAATAAATGAGTTACATGGCATAGTGTTTGAAATTAAAGAAAATTTGAGTAATTTAAGTAATTAGCTTATAACATAAATAAAAATTTCACTTTCTGCTATCAAAGTATCAGAAGCTTTTCTAAATCTCTTAAAATATGAGCACAATTAGTGCTTTTTTTTTGTTTAATGGAAACGTTGCACTTATAGTTCGACTTTTGTAAATTTAAAGTAATGTCAGACGTTCTAGGTTTGAATAGAGAATACAAAGACACCAAATTAATAAAATGTCAGCAAATTAATAAAATGACTTTAAATAATTAAATTTGCTGAAAAAATTTTGACAAGATTTGAAAATTTTCATTTTACAAAACCTTGCGTTAGGTGGTTTCATGCAGTTTTCAACATACAATACAAAAAAGCAAATTTTTCGAAACTTTTATTGGAATATAATTTTTTGGATTTAGATCTTATTAAACGATTATATCATTAGCATTGCCTTGAAGAACTGCGTCTAAAGTGTACATTCATATTATTTATTTATGTATATTTCGATCAAGAAATTTATTATATTTAAAATAAATTTAAATGAAATTTTTTTATAAAATTTTGTTTTTTTCAAAAATATTGTCAAAAGAAATGAAATATCGTCAAAACCGAAAAAGATAAATTGGTTACTTTTTGTTTTTAAAATTTTTGCATAGTTTTACTAAAAAAAAATTTGGGTTTTTTTTTTCTTTATTGTTATTTTGTTTTTCTTCTTATGAAGAGCGATCCATGATTAACGGGTAATGTATGTACGTGAATATGTAAAATTCGATTTTACATATTATAAAGTCGTTCATTTTCAGTTGTTTTTGTTTATCTCAAATTCGAAATCTAAGAGATGAGTTGAGAGCAGAAAAAGCGTCACATAAATTCTGCTTGTACATAAATTGCGATTGTTCCTTTTTTGTCTTATAATATTTGATTTAAACTTCTTACAAAAATATAAATACGATATTACTTTATTTTTAAATTATAGCAATTAAATTCATTTAGGTAATAATAGCTTGGATATGTAGAAAGAAATACTGAGTACTCCTGCACCATAAACGAATAATATTTTTCTTACACAATATTCGATTTAAAAAGTAATCCAATCACAAAAATAATTTCTACGAGATTTACTAAACATTTGAATATTGAATTATTTATTATGTACCAGTAGTATATGTGTGACAATCTATAGTGTGTCCAGTTCAAGGGGAACAATATTCATCTTGACCCTTATTTTTCTTTCGAAGAAAATAAAATTATACTTAGAGTTTCCACACAATTTTTATTTGTGGTCACTATGAATTGCTCTCAAAATTATTACATTGAAAAAAAAAAAAAAATTTTTGTTTTGTTAAATAATATCGTAAAATTTAAAAGAAAAAACAAAATCTATATATTTTCGAAGAAAATGTGTAAAAATAAAAAAAATCGCCTTGAAAAGGTAAATAACGATCACGAAAAATTTGTGTGATAACAAGAAATAAGACAACAAAAAAAAAACAAATAAAAACACAATTTAAGTCAACGATTTTTATAGTTCATAAACCGTGGAATTTTTAAAAATGCTTTTCGTTCAATATAAAGAGTAGAATATAAAAGTGGTGGGTGGTAAAATTATGTGATCGCCAAAAATAAATCGACATCAAAATAAAAAAAAAAACAAAATGTGTGTAAAATGAGAAATGATAAGAAATGCTATTATTAAACAGTTATCACGACTTATTATGGGATATGTTTGCATAATTTGTTACTTTGTTTTTCTTGTCAAAAGAAAAATAATTACTATGAAATTAAAATAATATAAAACATAATTAAAAATGAATTATATTCTGGCCGGAAAATTATTGAGTTCTGACTAAACTAGCCAACTACTGTCTCAATTTTATGCTATTATAACTAAATCGACTAAGATTACATGCTATGTATATCGTCTTGTTTTTTAAAAACAAGTTAGTAATTTATTTACTCTGCCACTCTTATTATTTATATTCTATTGTTATACATACCATTAACAAGAAATTTGAAACACTTTGAAAAAGAAATTTTAAAACTTCCAAATTTCTTTATAGATTTTCCGAATTTAGTTAGAGCTGCAATTAATCGAAACCTTTGTTTGATTATCAGACAAACCATTTAAATTATTTTTTTTTAAATTTTTATATGTCTTGTTGCTGATCACTCAGCTTATTGAGGGTTAAAATATGTTGGAAAATTGAAGGAACATTGAAAATAATTTTATTAAAAGATATTTTCCTTTTATTGCGGTATCTAACGTATTATTCAAATTCCATAGTAGCAGTTTTTAAAGAATGCTAATAAGCAGCCGTATGTGTACATTTATATTATATTGATATACATATATGTATATATTACATCGGTTTCTCAAAGTCCACGAGAATGCGATCAAAAAAATTAATGGTCAATGATTTCGTGAACATTGTTTGATTTTCAAATTTTTTACATACACACTATCAAAAATAAAAAGTTATGCAAGTACCACACACATTAATTAAGCATTGAAACTTAAACTTTAAATTCATTCTATTAGAGTGCATAATATAAATTTACATGTTTTATTGAAATTAGAAGTCAGAATAGCCCTAATGCTGTTCATGCGCCTTAACCAAATGTAAGGGTAAGTTTGTCGGTTTTTATTTTAAAATTTAATAGATATTAAATTTAATTTTTTTTTCTTTAACATTTCGAATAAAAGAAAAAGAAATTTCTTTTTCATTTTAAAATAATTTCGAATTAAATGAAATTGTCTAGACTAAATTCTTATATTGAAGCAAAAATTATTGTAATTATATGTGAATCAGTCTAACCACCTACTCATTCCTAAAACAAAAGAATTTTAGCAACAATATGTAGTAATAAAGTCATTTGTATATTTTAAAATTTTAACCGGTTATTGCCAAAAATGTTTATATAATTAGAATAAGAAAATTTTTTTTTTTTGTTTAATAATATTATTAAAATAATAAAAATTTAATAGACATTTAAAATAATTATTATGGGAATAAAAATAATTGCTTTTTTTTTTCCTAGTTGCGTATTTAAAAATTTTCAAATTAATTTCCATGAATTTTTCCGTTTATTATCCGTAGAATTTATTTTGTTTTGATGTGACGCATTTTACGTCTTATAAATTTAAATAATAAATAGTGATTATTATTTTGCTTTAGTAATTTTGGGATATTTAAGATACAATCTTATGACAATCGAGAATATTCAATTATGTAAATTATTTGAAAAATTTTGAAATGTGCAGCATATTGCTAATTTTCAATGTTCATTTGTTTAATGTTTTTTTATAAACGGATGAGTGTTATTTACGGATAAAATATTATCGGCTGAGATTAAAAAACAGAAAGATTTTGTGTGCCGCAGGTCGGAATAATTATATAAATGTTAAAAGACGAAACTTTCAAATCTATATGCATGTACCGCAATCACATAGTTATGGAAAACTAGTTTGACGAAGTGTTTTACAAATGCTTCACAAATGTGGATTGAAGGTAATGTGAGTTTTCAAATTATCACTTCATAAATTATGAATCATGTTCTGCGACATCTTCAAACAAGTTATTAAAAAAAGATAAAAGTTTGTTAAGTAGATTTTTAGAAAAATAATTAAAAATTTTATTCCTAATGGATATAAGGGGCTGGATTTACTATAAAAATAAAAGGGCCAAGGTTTTTCGAACAATTTTCAGTGGTAGCTTATAAAATTGAATATAATTTTTATATGTGTAGACCTGATCGGGCTTTGATCTTGAGAACATTTTGTTAAAGGACCGATACAATAACGACTGCACCGTTGGTCAGGTCAGTTAAAATTATTTATACTTTTGACAAACTCACATACTTATGCCAAATGATATAGACAAGTTACTTATGGAATTTTTATTTTCCAGATTTTTTGTCGAATTCGGAAACGAATTGGATCAAGTTGCTATAGATAACATCAAACTGTGGCATTTGCAATATTTCTTGGCGCCACACTTGGTATGCCGATACCAATTATAATATGTATTATGTAAGTGTTTTATTTATGTTTTATAAATTTGAGTTGAATATGGACAATATTTGAAAGACATTTTACAATTAATAAAATGGTAGTAAAACCGAAAATAACTTTACAAATGAACTTGTATACGCTAACTAAAATTATTGCTCAAAATAATTCAGTTTGTGATCTTAGAACAAAATATTCTATAAGATCGTTCATCTATGTTTACAAAATATTGAATCATATCATCAACAAAAATTTCCATTTGAATTTCTTCATCATTTTAGATATCATTTTTTTTTTTGGGGGTCAAGAACTGAAACAATAATTTGATACACGCGGTAAGTATGTACATATATGAGTACATAAAAATGTTTATGTATATTTTAAACATTATAGTAAAATTTCTGTTTTATATTCTTTCATGTAAAAAAAAAAAATTTTGTTCAAATTCTACGTTTTTCTTACCTTATTATCTCCTTTATCGTTATGATTTTTGAAGAAAATTTATCCACATTTTAAAGAATATGCGCATTTTACAATTAAGAAAATTTTATCGTCATTTTATTTACTATTTCATTGCAGAGAGGAAAACAAAAAGTGTGAGAGAAATGAAACGAATAAAATGAAGATTGGAGAATATTAAAGTAAATTGAGAGGATGAAAATCGTTAAAGTGAGTTAATTTACTCACAGATTAATAATTTTGACAACAAACTGCAAAGTGGGAACTTTTATGTTATTTTATAGAAAATTTATAAAATATATAATGTGTATAATTTGCAGAAAATTCACACGTTTTTCGTTAAAAGTATTTTCAAGGTAAAATAAATTGTAAATATTAGCAACGCTTCAAAGAGGATGACATTTTAAAAGCGGCCATTTTGTTGATATTAATGAAAAGCTTTTTTATATTAAATTTTAGTGGAGATTGCGCTCAAATATAATTTTAATTGAACGTTTTATTTTAATATAAATTTGAAAAATCATCGTTTTTAACTTTTATTATTTATTTAAATTTAAAAGAAATTTACAATAATACAAGTGCCTAATTATGAATTTAATTATTAAAAGAAATAAATTTTCACTTAAAATGTCCGAGAGAAGAATTTCATTTACTTCAGCCTTTAAGTAATTTCAAAAACTTTAATTAAGTATTTACTTTTTTAACACCCTGTATCTAGTATTGCCTGAACAATTTGAATTAAGAAAATTTTCCCGCTCTCACTGTTTTAGTTTTATTTAATTTTACATATTATATTAAAAAATTTTTTTTTTTAAATTAAAAAATATTTTATAAAAGCAATTAATTTAAAAAAAATATTAACAGAAAATTTCAATTTACTCAAACAAATAGTTTGAGTAAATTAAATTTTACTCAAAAAATTTAAGAGAACATAATATGAGTGGAAAAGGATTTTATATACGATTTAGTAAAGAACAATCTCTTTTGATAATGATTTCTCTTTAATATATTATCGGAGTCATTCAAGCAGGTGGCATGCTGCAAAATAAACGTAAAGCATCATTTTCATTGATCACTTTATTAAGTGAAATCTTTAAAATATAATTTTTGAAAATAGTTAAAAATTTTGCTTTGATTCATCGCGCTATCATTGGCTCTTAACGTTGATGCTCTTGAATTTTTAATTTAAATTTTAAAAACTTATGTAAATTATATATTAATTTATAAACTAATAATTTTTATAAAATTCATAAATTAAATACTTTTTATTGAATTTAATGAAATTGAAGAGAAAAATATGAGAATAATAAAAGGATTTTAAAATCAGAAAACAATTTTTATGAGTTGTTTATAAGCACAGCATCTATTGTGAGAGAGAGAGAAAAGAAGAGAGCGAGATTGACTATTCTATTCTGAGAAATTTTGCTTTCTCTCAAATGTTTTTTATTTTTATTATTTTCTTGAATCCAATTTATTTTTCTGTTTGTTGTTATCTTCGAAATTTTTCTATGTTTAATCGCAATATCTATGACGATGAATTTTTCTTCATCACGTTTTCATGATGATGTTATGTGATGTTCGATAATAGTTGGCTCGGATGCACACACGGCACAATATAAGATTATTCTCGCATCTCGTATTTGTGTTTTCCTTTTGAAAATTTCTTTCAATTTCATTAACAAAAATAACGAAGAGAATATAGAAAAAAGAATAATAAAAATTAGTATTAAAAATAAAATTCGTGTATTTAAAAAAAAAAAAAGAAATATGTTAAGTATAAAGATATAAAAAATAAGATGGAAAACAAGAAGAATTGCAAATAAAAACTTTACAAAAAATAAGAGAAAAATTTAAAGAAAATAGGAATTTATTTTGAAAATAAAAACCTACAGAGTGTCATAGAACTATTGAAACACATCAAATCGAACAAGAAAATTTTATAGAGCTAGATTATTTTAATAATCTTTGGCAATTATATACTCTAAAATGACTCCCTCGATCAAAATTATCTATTTGAAACCGAAAAGTTTAATGCATCATAGCTCCTTTAAAAGTTGATACACTCCAAAAATTATTAAGGTTTGAATAGAAATTTCAATTTGAAAATCAAGTAATTTGACACAAAATGTGTTGCTATTCCACGTTAAATAGATTTAAACGGAACACCTGAATTTTCATAAGTTGGCCATTTAGATCGATAAAGAATATTTGATATTTGTTTTTGTACACAGCAACTCATATGAACCGCCAATTTTGAGTTATATTTTTACTTGAATTGGATTGGACATGAATACATAAGTGCTTGGAGTTCTCATGTATGTTTAAAGGTACGAATATTTAATAAAAATTCATTTAATTGATTTAAATTATATAAAAAAGTACAGGTTTAAATTTTCGGGGAGCCATAAAATTTTTCGACGTTACGATGTTCTATAAATTAATATTTATAATATTAAGCAAACGTATAAATGTATTTGTGAATTGAACTAAAAGAATCGCCACAGCCCCTTAAAGAATTTAGAATGTACTTGAAGGCATTGCATACAACAAGGAGAGTATTATTTTTACATTTCAAAATTTCGACAGTAATTCACTCTCCCTATTTGAGTCTTAAAGCAGTGTGATTCAAAGCAAAATGAGATTCTAACTGTCGGCTTGTTTCTTTTTTAATGCGTCGATTTTCGCCCGGCTGATTTTTATGAAATTTTATATACATTAGAGTTGATTTTGCAAGTTACGGCTTTTATTAAAAGTTTCTCAATAATTTAATCTTAAATCTAACTAACTAATCTTTCTAAAGAAATCTGGAAAAACAACATTTCTTTAAATTTTTTTTGTCAAGAGTTAATATAGAAAGTGATCATTAACGAATTTTCTCGAAATTGTACAAATATTTAATCTATCAATTAACAAAATAACTCTAAAATCCTAGAATTGCATCCGACAAAATTATTCGAGAAAGCCATGTATGTAGAATATATATTTTTTTAACACCTTTTAGTCATTTTAAAATACAACGATATTAAAATTACAAAAAACTCATTTTGCTAAATCATTGCGCTCAGATTTTAATATTTTACACTCACTTGCGATGTTATAAACGGGTGAACAAAACTAATATAACTTTCGGCTATAAATACTTTGCAGATAATAAATTTTCTAATGTTCACATTTTTTTTTTAATTATAGGCATATGAAAATGTTTTGTTAGAAATTAGAAAAATTTTGTTCTCGTGATGAAAAACAAAACAAAACCGAAAAATATTAAGTCATAGCAACATACACAGTTTATCATTGTGTATTTTGGGAAAGTGGAAAAACAAAAAATAAGAAATTAAGCAAAAAAAAAAAAAAATTGGAAAAACTATTTTTATTTTATTGTACTCTCCGGTTTTGTTTTCTTTTTTATTTCATTCTCTATTCTTTTCTCTCCATTTTTTTTTACTAAAATTTAAAAGAAGCTCCAGTCAAATCGGAGACATTATAAATCTTCAAAAGACGATGTCTGAATTCAAAATAATTATATACTTTGTTTTTTTTTAATAAAAATAGAATAAAAATTTGTTTTTCCTTTCATTTTCTTTGTTTCTTTTTTGTCTAAGTGGCTTGAAAGGTCAACTCTTTTGTCAGTTCTAATTAATTTACAAAAGAACTTCAATTTTTCTTACTTTTGAATTTTCAATGTTATCAGGAAATTTTTACTTTATTTTAAAAATATTTAACTTAAATAAAAAAAAAACACTAAGTGATGAAATGAAAAATGAAAATTATTTTTGATAGACGACAACAATGCATAATTGAAACCTTTTGTTTTAATAATTTCAAATTATCTTTTGCTCAACTTGGTGGCAATCGATAAGAAAACTGAAAGTAAAGTAATTCAATTTTCATAGTTAGTTTTTACATTTTATCAGAAGAACGGCATTTTAACAACAAGAATCTCTCAAAATAATTTTATTTTAAAATTTTTTTGCAGAATTTTGAATCTTTACAGAATTATGAAAATCCTGTTAATTCTGTATTAAAATATTTTATTGCTAACAATATAATAAATCTACAAACTGTTTAAAATCAAACAAAATTAAATTTTGCAGTTCCTTAGTACATTTACAACGAAATTGGAAAAAAATGTGCGCTTTCATTTCACTCTTTTGTTCTTATATTTGTCGGTTCGTGCGCTTGTTTTGTTTATTCAAAACTTCTTTCTTCCGAAATTCAGTAATAATGTGCAATTTTGTACAAATTACCTAAGAATATTGCCATAATGTAAAAGTTTTTACCACTCATTCATTAAATTTTCAATTTAAGAGCCCAAAAGTTTTTATTCAGAATTCTAATACGTCCGAAACAAATTTTAATTCTTTAGTTCAATAAATTTCATAAATGATTGATTTTCCCTGCAGAATATCTAATCAATTTGTTCTTTAACATTTCTCAAATGAAATTATTGAACAGAACGTAGAAATGAATTTATGAAAGAGGCGCTATTGGCGCTTTCATCAAGGTGTTTTTTATAATATTTTAAATTTTTTAATATTTAATTTTAAAAAAATATTTCTCTTCTCTTTGAAATTCAAAATATGACATACTTATTTTCTATAGTTTAGTGTGACCAAGGTTAGTTTATATAGCATAAAAGAAGAAGTGGGCGATTTCTTTTTCATTCACCATTTATTTATAATAAACTATTAATCTTGAACTTTGAAAAAATTTGTTGTTCATACCATAAGTATCATTGACAATATTCGCAAAATTTTGTGGCATGGAAGTGGAGTCAAATTGAAAAATGAACTTTTCATTGTGATTATGCTTTAATGGCTGTTAAAAAGTTTCATTGCTCCGTCAAAGTTTTATGACTAATTGATAGGGGCTAAAGTTTCATCAAAATATTTCATCAAAATTTCAAAATATGTTAAAGCCTTTTTTGATTTTTAATTTAAGTAGCAATTCCAATTTTTCTCTTAATATTATCACAAAAAAAAAAAATCTCCATTAATGGAAATCTACACTTTGTGTTAGGACGATTAACAAAAATTCATTCTTAGAATTCTTTAATGATGAATTTTCTATAAAAAAAACAAAGCCCTTACTTTTAGGCTCCCATTTAAAATTTTCAAATATCTTAGTATACCTACAATATAAAAAACAAATGTCCTTTTGTAACAGCTTTGGTATAATTTTCAATTTTCCATTTGATTTTTGCTTTTTTTAGTTTTTTTTCCCATAACCCTTTTTCCTATAATATTCGAAATCAAAAATTTTGTTTTTATTTTATCTTTTTACTGTTTTGTCTTTATTGTCTAACAAAAACAAAAAAAAAATTTTTTTTTTTTCATTTTATTTCGGGTCTATATTTATGTGCATGTAAATGTGCAAATAAACGTAATATAATTTTTGATAGAAAATACAAAACTGAAAAAAAAAAAAACAGAAAAAGGTTTTTGTTATTTTTCATTCAAGGACCTTTACACTTATTTATTTTACGAATAAAAATCTCTGAAATAGTCAAAAAGGAAAATGGTGGAGAATCAAAAAAATAAAGAATTTAGAAAAATATAAAGGGTTTGTGCAATATTAAATGAAAAATAAGTTGTGTAATAAGAGAGCGAATAATATTATTAAACAGCGGCGATGTCCACGACAATATTCTAAAGTTGAAATATGAGCAATCTACTGGGCAAATCTTTAATAATTTTCTAATAAACTATTGAAAATTTTATTGAAAAATTTCCTGTTTTACTGTCTAATATGCAATTCAATTGCAAAGAATATGTTACGTTCGTGTAAATCTTCTAGTCTGATATGATTGGAATACTACTAAGTTAATAAATAATTAAATTAATTCACTAAATTTATTGCTGTTCTTCCTTTTGCATAGCTAGATCAAAATAAGCACTATTAGAAGAGCTCTCAACATATTTTTGATTTAAAAAATATTTGAAAATTACGATAGTTTTTAATTTGGTATAGCAACATTGTACTGTTCGTAAACATTTATTGTTTAAGACAAAAAAACTTTCACAATTAACTTGAGAATATTGTTGTACGTATTGTTCCACTAAACAAAAATTTTTATTGCGAATTAGTCGACTCTGGCTCAACGCAAATTTAAATATTTTAGATAAAGCTTTATGTTATGGCTGATTGGCTTTTAATATTCTGTGGCATTAAAGATTCTTAGATTAACACATGTATCAGCATTATACTGGCTTATATTGTATGCTATTTTACGATGTCCTTTAACACCATATTTCGAAATGTAGAACCTGAACAATAATATAAATGACATATTTGACAAAGTCTGCTGAAATTTCTGTCTGAATTTATTTGTAAAATATAGTATGAGAAATTTAATGCCCCAGAATATTTAAAATTCCATATGACAAAATCTAGATTATGAGTCTAAAATTTTTTTACTTTATTTCTCATTTTCTTATTTTAGAAAATCTTTGTTCAATTATTAAATAAATGTATTTGAAGATTTTTTCTTTTAAATTTCATTCTTAAAATTATTGAACTTTTTAAAATTATTGAACCAATAAAAAAATTTATAAAAAATCAATGCTATAAATTATTATCGTCACTGTGACAAAATATACTTGTATTCTATTTATATTGATGTTTATTACTTTTGGTTCATTTTGCTTTTGTACAATTTTACAAATTGCTTATTTCTATTTTTATTACGATAGTCAAAATAATCAAAAAGTTGAAATCACAGAAAAACAGTAGAGAAAATATTGAGGTTTTCAATGTCCTAGTTAAAAATCCTTTTTTTTTTTTGCTTTGCTATTTTTTCAGTATTTTCTTCTTCATCTTCTTTGTACTCTATTGAAAATATTTAGGAATTTTATATTTTAGAACATAATAATATACAATAAGTATATTGGTATATAAATGTAAATATGTAGATTATGTATATGTACATACAGATGTAGGTACATTCAGAAAAATTATTTCATTTCATATGTATGCCTTATATGTAGATATAGATTTACAAAAAAAAAAATAAATTATAAATTTAATATAAGATTTTCAAATATACAAGTTGTTATGTAAATTCTTATATACATGTAGTTATGGTGTGTGTAATATGGCATGCTTATATTATGTAGAATATTTTAGTGCGTGTCATTATAGAAAAATGAAAATTTGTTTTGACTGAGCATTAATCCAGAAGAGTGATTTCCTTTTATATTTATTTTTTTTTTTTTTCATTTTGTACAAGTGTTATATGTTTTCCTTTTCTATTTGTTTATCAGATAGATAAATAAAAATATTAAATTTATTTTCTTTATTTAATGTTGAACGCACATACACTTATGAT